GTTTGAGCGAACCACTGTTGGTCTATCTGCTCTTTCGAAGTTCGCCTTCACGTTCTCGAAGTATTTCCCTTCACTGAAAACCAAAAAAAAAAGACATTCACAATTTCGAACACAGTATTGAAAAAAATATATATCTAGGTCTCACCTCAGTACCAAACTTTTGAGTCGCAAAGCTTTCGTCCGCAAATGATCAATGGCCTTTTGGGATTTGTCAGAGTGCCTCAAAGTGTCTCCGTCCCACCGAATTTCAACTCTTTCCAATTTATGACAATTGTTTGCGATTGCTTCAACCAATTGGTCCACCAGAACCTTGGTATGCACCTTTTCAACAATTGAAAACGTTTTCCATTTATGCGGAAGAATCATGAACCGTATTCAACAATATAAGAATAAGATATATGAATAGATTTGGGTCCACTTAGCTGCGGTTTCTCTTTGACAGGGGTATAAATAAGATTCTGTGAATTTTGTTTCGCTCATGCAAATATAGAGGATGCAAATATTTTCGGAGTAATTCATGCGCCACCTTTGATGTTGATTCCAATGATGAGATACACGGTGAAGAGATCTTAAATATTTCCGAGAGCATTTTCCATGATGGATTGGATTTGTCGTGATGGTGTACAGTATTTTGATGAGAATACAAGCAAAAAGTGAGAAGGTGACGTCGATGCTGGATTTTTTTGTGTCACTGTTTTCGATGACTTTGACAAAATAGAAACTGCTCACTTTCGTTGAAATGCATCATTATCAGCTCGATGATTTTCAGGAAAATACTTTTAATTTCTCAATTAATCATCCAAGCAAGTTTCATTCTAGAGGGGAATTGAGAAATCTTGACTGCTGGTGGTACAACTACAATATCTCTCAAACGATTCCAAATATTGTCCCTGTATTACAATATTTCAATTGAATGAGTTCAAAGAAATTTTCAAAAGCTGCCTTCATATACGGCCAGATTATTATCGCTCATTTTATGACGGTTCCAAATTCAAAGATTTTATCGTCACGATCGTTTCAAACTATGAGTAATCTTTGAAGAAAAAATCGCAACGGCGTAAAAAAAAGACGAATTTTCCTTTTTTAAACTGATTTTTGCCTCACTTTTCCGGTACGCCTTTGATACACTTTAATATTGAATTCATTCCGATTTAATTTGAGCTGCTCGACAAAGGAACAGTTGGAGGTCTTAGGAATGTGTCACAGATTATTCTCTTTTATTCTCTCTCGGACATTTGAAATTGAGTTGGCAAAATAAAGAGAGAGAGAGAGAGGGAGCAATAATACGAGCTAGAATTATATTTCAAATTGCTGAAATAAATGGAACCGGATGAAACCTGACTCGCAATATTTCACTCGCTCATACTATTTTACAGGGATAACTGCTCAAATTAACTACTTAAGTTAACCACTTAAATTACTTACAAAGGTTGTATTGCTTACAACGGGAGGATTTTATCCTATGAAGATGAATATTGAGCAAATTTGCTTTTACGTATTCATTTGCGAACTCAAATTCGATCGTCAGCAGCCACGGCAATATAGTAAAGAGGAAAGAAATTATTTTTAATTCGGAACGGTGGTGTTCAGTTCATGGTGAAAGTCAAATGATGAGCCAAATCATTTCAGGGAAAGTTGTGTAATTTTCTTTTTATGACAATTTTGATTTGAATCCCGGCATCTGACACATACCTTTGGACAGCAGCCTTCAGCAGTTCCCACCCCTAGGATCCTCAAGTTCCTCAGCTGCGGCATCACGGAAATGAGCAATTGATCAGTGATGGTTGGGATCCCAGATAAAATTAGTCCCAGGAGGTTAGACCCATATTTGCCCAAAAGAGCCTGAAGCCCTTCATTGGACAAGTTGTCGCATCGGTCCAAATCCAATGCCACGAGTTTCCCAGGGCTGCCTTGTTCTAGAAACCTCGCCAGAACTTTGTCGTTGAAACTGTCCTGCTGTCCAGCTGACAAGTACCGCAATTGCTTCAGTTTGGTGAGTATTTCTATGAGACACTCCTGGCTTAGGTCAGTCGCCGTTATGTCGAGTTCCTGCAGTTGAGTTTTGTCCCATTCCACGTTCATCACGTATTCGCTCTTCAGACCTATTTATTTCCAGGTGTTGAAAAACCCGAATGGAAAGATATTTTAAAAACATGTTCGCTATATACAAGTGCACACAAGTAAAGGAACTTTCACAAAGTGCCCATATTTAGGTCTCAGCACATTTTTAGATCACACCTCTCACATAACAGAATAATTTTTTTCACTCGAATACCAGGCAACCTTAGTAATAATGACACCCGCTGCAATTTTAAAGATAAATTTGCCGAACAATATCCCTGTATGCTGCATATCTTGATTATTGCTTTCTGAAAAAAAAATTTGTTTTGAAGTTTGTTGTGTGAACTCATTTTTTTATTGTAATACTGTATTTATGTGATTACCAAGCACTCCTATGTTCTGCAAACCGGATGCTGGAGCTGCGTCGCTTCGGCACGCGACAATGGACAATGTAACTTAGTGCCAAGCATTTTCTTCCGATTTATATATATACATTTTCTTTTATACTTATGTATATGATGTGCACTGGTTCCAGTGGATACTGTATATCCTAAATATGAATGCCTGGTATGCGTCGTAAACCCGTTCAAACACCTTTTTGCCTAATTTTCTGAGATAAAAAGTGAATTTGTTACCGGTGTAAATCTGGTGAATGACATGAAAACATGCTGAACATACTCGTTTGCGTGAGGATGAGACATTGCAGACGCTTGCACCGATTCAGCAGGGTTTTCAGGCAAGACCCAGTGACCTTGCCGCAATACGGAGCTGACATGCATTCCAGTTGGATACAGTTTGAGCTGAAGGCTTCCACGTGTCCATCGTCGAGGAAATTGATTCCGTACAGATTCACTACCACCAGGTTGGGTGTGGCCGACTTGAGCTTGTGGATGTTGACGACTTCGTAAATCTCTTCTTCCTCTTCTTCCACTCGTTCATAGGTACCTTTTGAGAGCAAAAAAAACAACAACATTATATTACCGTTTTTAATCAAGTAACACGCGCATCTTCGAAAAAAATCATGTTGGAAAAAAGAGGGTGCGCGTCATAAGCGCATATATAATTTTTGAAATTATTGAAAAGTGCCGGTGCTCATCATGATCGTTACATAAAATTTCAAATAAAGTGTTCAACCAATAAATACTTTGAATGGAAAACATTCATTCAATTTAGGTTTGATTCAAGTCAAAATTCTGATTTTTATACCTAGTATAGTTGAACCTTGATAACTTAAACCTCCCTATAAGTCAAATACCTCCCAAGGTCAAACATTTTTCAAGTCCCTATTTGAATTCCCTTAGAAACAATGCATGAAAAATATCTGTGACTTGAAGGTACATTATTTTCTCTGAGACCCCCACAACTCTAATCTTCTGAATCATTTTGGCTATCATTTTTTTTGGCACAGGAAAGAGAAAATTAATATTTTGATTTCATTCTGAGATTTGAAAGTAAGTGAATGATTTATTAAGCAAAGGAACCCTTGCCTCCAAGTTATGTATCATTTCAACCGATTTCAGAAACAATTTAAGGCCCAGAATGTCGCCATGTATAATATCCTGCAATTCCTCTGCATTTCCCGCAATGAAATTGCTTGTTTTCGTATAAATAGAGACCCCTTTCCCTCAAAACCACCCTAACTCGATTTTTGTTGGCTGGTTCCTGGAAATTTGACTTGACTGTTTATTCAAAAAGTTTCCCTTTTAGTCACTCAACATGGGTTGCGCGTCGTACTGCGGCCTACAGTACAATAATTACCCAAATGTTTGGACCAGAAACCCAGGAGCGCGTGGTACTCGAGTAAATGCCGGAAATCGTGAGACAAATATTATGATTTGGTAATTTTCTCACCGATCAAGTGGAGAACTTCCAGGCCGTTTATGAAGTTGTAAATTTTGCGCATGAAACCTTCCATGAAGATGACCCCGGACAAACAGATGCAGAGAGAATTTAGCTTCGCAGGGAATGCCTTAAGTTGCACAGATAGAAGAGCAAATATGAAAAAAATAATGGAATCTTCAAAATGTTGAAAAAGAGAAAATGAAGAAGCAGCACCTGTAGCTCATTGAAGTCATGAAGTTGCATGGCAGTTGAAAAATCCATCAACATGCTGGTCAAATTCGGACATTTGTTGGCCAATTCATGCAAGACCGTGTGCGTGATCAACTCAATAGGCAGCTCAATGTATTGCAATGAAGGCCCGAATCTAACACTGCATCCATATAATTGAATGTCATTAAAGGTCACTTCATTAAAAAAAATAGCTAAAACATATATTGCCTGAGAAGTGCCAAGAGGTTCTCCAAGCTGGTGACTTGCAACCCAGATATTTCAGGTCGTAGAGACACAGATTTCCATAGTCGAGAATCGTAAGCAATCATTCGCCATTTCTTGCAAACCCTCGCATTCCTGCAGATTTCTCTATGCGGCAAATAGGAGAAAATGTGCATCAGGACCTTGTCGGGAAGCTTTTCGATGGTCTGCAAAGAAAAATAGGAGAAAGAGACATACGGTACATTATCAGTGTACAATAATGCTTCAAATTTCGGAATTTGTTCTGAAATTGATAATTTCAAACCCATTATTAAGCCAGGGCTTAGCAGCCAGCAAAGTAGGCTGACACACTCAATTAAAATAAAATGTCTTATATGTATACCCCCGCTTAACAGACCTCATGGATGTTTATGTAACAGACCAGCACCTCGACATGGAGGCAGTTTTTCCAACCCACATAATGGACAAAATCTGCCTCATGAACTTCTGCTGGTTGAAAAGGAATTTTAATAAGTAAAACTATTAATTTTCAATAATTGACTTTCTATAATTGACTTTTCACAAAACACACAAGTCTGTTGCATGGATCAAGTCCATTGTGCGAGAGTTGACTGTATCCCATTTTAGACGTCATTATTTGAAATACTGTATAACAAAGTTTTCTATGTACAAAAATTAAAAACAGTCCCCAATATGGCATATACAAGTATTCAAATAATTCAGGTAGACTCTACAACAATGTTGCCTACAATGATATTCTCTGTATAACGAATATTTCAACATATATCTGTGTAAAGAATAGTATCCTTAAAACGTGGAATTCCATCCCAGATCGTGATTCAAAAAACAAAACTTCATCAGGATTTGAGTTTCTTACAGTCCTTGAGCGAGGATGTCCATCTTCTCGATCAGCCAACAAAGCAGTATTTTCTGCTGTGAATTCAACACCACCCCACATTCTAATTCTTCAAATATTCACCCACAATCACGAGCACCTGCTTTGTAGGGGCCTGGATGTTCACTATGTCTTCTTCCTCGCTGAAATTCCAAAGATTCTACATTACGCTACGAAAACAAAAATACACCTTGAAACCTCTTTCATATTCACGGATACCCTGCACTTTAAATAAAAACACGTTCCATCATTGAACTTTGATTTCGTGGAGCCAAATTCAAAATCTAAGCTGTAGCTATATAGACGTACGGGAACTGAGTTGAAAAATCCTTGCGTTTCTCGAACGATTCAAAATATGGCGTGACATTCAAATTGTATTTTTAGGTAAGAAGAACCCAGCTGAGATGATGGAAAAGAATTACTGCTCTCTATAATCGATAACGTAAATTCGTCTCGGATTGACTGCACACACACACACACACACAAAACTCCACGAGGATTCAATAGAACTAAACGTAATGATCCTCAAAGCACCACGAAACATCAAAAGGAATCGTTTCTTCAGTTCTGAGAAAATACTTCACTTCTTTTCACATATTTTTTTGCCACACTGGAGAAGAAGTAGGGGGTGGAAAAATCGAACTCCAGGAAGCCGTTTTCATGTCCGGAACTTGTAGCTCGGGACACATTCTCCACTCACAGATTTGAGGTTTTTGGACCTTGCATACTATAAGCACGGGGAGAAGGTTCCCTTGGCTCCAGGAGGTATGTGCTAAATTTAGCTAGGAACTGTTCAGCTGGGATGTTGACGGGTATCAGCTGTTTTCCCATGCCAATGCTTTAAAAGTTGGTGACATCTAGATATACATTTAGAGTTACTTGTTTTGAAGTTTCTGAAAATACGCATAAGAGTTGCTGCATGCTTTGACACGAAAAAAATTTAAAGACGACGATGTACAGCAAAGGAGAAGGGCCGATTCACAAAATGTTTATGCTTAAGTTGTTTGCTTAGACTTCGTTTCATTCAAAAGCTGTGATGGTGTTCACACACTTAAAAATGAATGAAGACAAGTGTTGGGGACCCACTGTCCCAGTGTGACAAACACCTAATAGAGGCACACCTGAATGGGATGGAAAAATCACCGGAGGACAAAAACTGGTAGCATCAAGGGCCCCAGAAAAACCACAAAACTTAGAAGAATTTTGTTCTCTGAGTTTCTGTCCCTGGAGTCCTCTTTTACTCAGATTTTCCTGGCCAATCCCAGGCCTCTAAAAATTGCCTGATCTACAACCAGAGTGCTGGATTAAGCCCATCAGTAACATTAATTAATAAAAACCCTTTTATTCCCAATGTCATCATCAGTCTGAGCCTAATAGTGGTTGTGAGGTGAACAGACTGTTACTGATTTGAGCTTGCTGGGAGGCTTTTCCTGTTCATTAATATCTTTTGCGACTTTTTCATATCTTTGCCTTTGTTAAGACAATCATCTGAAATGCAGTTTAAAGTTAAAGTAGGGATTCTATGAAGAATCCCCAGACTTGTCCCAGGCTGATTGTGTTTTTCTATTTCTAATTTTGTTGACCCACAGCCAGTATTTTCATCTGTATTTTTGGTGACTGTTGTCATCAACAACAAGTTTACCAACCTTTTTGAAAATCGAAATCCTTTCGAAATGAAAAGCAGTCAATTTCACGCTTGTAATTACAGTACAATGAGCAGGCCCTGAGATATGGACGTAAGTGGTGCTTGTCCCTATTTTTGGATGAACGTCCGTATGTAGTTCATGTTTTTCCGCAGACATCAATGGAAGTACATTTCATTGGTTCTCCTGATCATCAAAAATTAGAAAATAAGGTCCCCAGGAATTTAAATAAACATTTTCTCAACTTCATCATACAGAAGGTATAAATGTGCAGAGGAAAAGCACGTATACTGTAATCTCATTTTTGGTATGAAAAGAAGCCCACAATGCAAAGAAAAATCGTACGTGTTACACGTGATGGTAAAAACTCTGAAAAACAAATTAGCTGTTTTCAATTATGAGTTGAAATAATTACCCAATGAAACAAATAAATTGGAAAACATTTTAAATATTTCCAGCTATGTTGGAAAAGCGTCCCTATTGCGAGACATTGTTTAGATGTCATGACAATTTTTTTTTGTTTTAATAAGCGCTCGTATTTTGGATTGTCTGTGTTGCGTCGTCCATATACGTCGGGATTCGACTGTAGTTTTATTCTGTTATCAACTCAGAGTTTAGCAGAGGAAAGCTCTCAACAGGTGCAGAATACGGGTATAGGCCGAGTATCCCCTAGGCATAGCTTGGGGTTATCGGGCACACGGGGTTATCCAGAAATTTACGGAAACAGTACCGTGGAGGATAATCTAAGAGCGACATCATCCTTTCGAGATTGCCAGGAGTTGTGAAAACGCCAACAGAGGACGCTAGCTAACCAAGTTAATTACGGCCGGTATTTATGATGCAAGCTGATGCCCGCCCAAAATTAAAGCAAAAGTGAGCTGGGAATTTGCGGTTTCTTGTCTTAAGGAATGTTCAAATTATTCAGTAGGGTTCTCTGTTTTGTTGCTTTAACCATTAACACACTGTATTGAGCAGTTCACCTCATTTTTCGGAATCCATATCGGGCAAATAACGTTCTGAAAACATTCTGCTCGCATGATATATTGCGTATCTGCTGAAAAAGCCCCTTAATTATGCATACTCGATGCAATAAACATATACAGTACAGTACTGTACGTGTTTGATGATATAGAAATACTTATAATCTCAAAAACTTTGCATTTCCGAGACTTTCACAAATTCTTTCACATTGTTGCTCAAACAGAAATCAAAGAGCGTGCCTTTAATGCATCTCAATCCATGAAAATTCTTATATGGATGATATGCAAATATTTTTCCATCACATTCATGATAGATTTTTGGGTTCGGGTAGATCTCTAAATATTTTTACATCATTCAGTGATATGGCCGTGGAAATTGATGTGATAGTTATTGGTGCCAATATAGCCATTATTGTTTAGATATGAGTATGCAATGACTTTCATGATTTGGAATTTCAATCATGATGCAGATCCAGTTCTAGCAGACTTTGAGTACACTGTTTTGATGAATCACTTTCTGAATGCTTGAAAGATCGATTAATTTTCAGTTGCAAGGAAATGATGTGACTCTGTTTCTCCAATAAATGCGGTGCCATTTTTGCTAGTCGAATTACAGAAGCCAAGAGCCTTTTACTGTAAATCCTCGGGAAAGTCAACCCCCCTAAAGCATTGCTCAACTGCAATTACTCATGTGTGGAGGCCTGATAAAATCAAACCTTCAATCCTTGGAAATAATTGCAGCAACCCATTTCTTCTCAACTTAAAAAGAAACAAAGACCTCTATTCATGGTGAAGAGGGCAATAAACCTTCTTTTATAAAAAAAATATAAACAGGGAACAGCTGCAGGGGGAGAATTTCCATATACAGTACTCCTTGAAATAAATAAAAATGGGCAATTATGCTGTAGGGCAAAAACCTTGCAACAAATGTAATAGATTCTTGGTAACAACACACACACTGACAGGTAAATAAATAAATAATCAACTGTCCCTTCAGGATTCTAACTTCAAACAAACATTTTAGCTACAGGTTTAACTTTTTCACCATAACTTTTTTTTGTACATTATATATGTAGACTTGCAGTATTAAGGACATAATTTTTAGGAGATTCTTTCTTGGTTATTGCCTTTATGTAGTATGTTGAACGACATTTGTCCTTTTAAATCGTTAAAACCATACAGTCTCCGATTCCGTTAAAATAACCTGACCAAGTACCCGGTCAGACTTCCACAGACATCGGAGATCTGGCCTGAAGGCCATATTTTGTGCACCCGCCGTGTCAAAATAGTTTGAAGATATACGCATAATTTGAATAACTTTTGACTTTGAGCTCTGTTGCTTTCAGCTGGTTTTGCATGCTGTGTTTCTTTTATGGAAGCCCCTGCAAAGAAATTCCAGGTCTTGTAGATATACAAAGCATCGCATCGAAGCGAATATTCTCAGGTCGACGGCAAAATATTTTGGCACTCGTTTCGTCGATTTGCAGTACTACTTCCTCTGTTTTGCAGAACACTCTTGGCAAATCCTACCCAGTGCCCAGCTTGACACTCTTTTTCCTCATTCGAATGAAAGAAACAAGAGAGTGGATAATACATTTCATGAATACAAGTCATAGAACATTGAAAGTTGTAAACATTTAAAACAGCTGTGTATACGTAGGACTCTGTAAAGTTTAAAAAGGGAAGTT